TTATGTACATATTAATATATTATAGATGTTTAATATTAATTTAAGATGTACCTATTGCGTATGTATTTTATTTTTAATTTAATGATGTTATTTATTAATTTACTTATTTTCCCGTATCTTTTTTTTAGATATATTATGCTGAAAATAAATATGAAACACATAATTAGTATGGACTACATAGAATTCAAATTTTTTATAGTTTTATACTGACTTTCATTAACCTTCGACGTAAAAAGTACGAAAGTTAAAAGTTTGAAATTTATACCATAGTAAATAGCCATAAATATAGTAAAAATAGTTTTAATTTTCATCAAAATAACTACATGAGTATAATAATATAATAATATATTATACTATCCATAATTCGAATAATGCCATATTATACACTTGCAGTCGACTCTCGATAATTCAAAGTTTGCGGGACTTTTGAATTACCGAGAAATCGAATTGCCGAGTAGTTCAAAATATTAAGAGAGCAAAAAAAAAATCAAATTATTGAGAAAATTTTGTTTTTTTTATTATTGTACATGCATAATTATTATTTAATATTTCAGCAAATTAGGTAGTATTACTACTATTTATTGTTTTTAAAATGTAAATTAAACTATTGTACATACTATATCGATTTAATTATTATAAGAAAAGATTATAAGAGAAACATTCAATGAATATACTCTGAACTTTGAATTACTGAATGTTGAATAAATGAAACTTCGAATTGTCCCGTTTTACTGGCTAGTTTTCCCAAAATTCAATTCCAAATTACCAAGTGTACTTAAATAAATGATTTTTATTCAAATTACAGCGAGATTTTCAAGAGGACAAGCATTTATTTCGAATTACCGAAAGTTTTGAATTATCGGAGGTTTGAATTATCGAGAGTCGTCTATATATGCATTTATAAATCATTTGTACACTTACAAATTTTTTTAAGGAATGAATTTACTAGCCTTAGCTGATTGCTATGTATTAATATTTTAAGCATTAAATACGCTTCAGTAGACAAAATGTCACAGGAGGTTAAACAATCAGATTGATATGCAATTAAACGAGTCGGTTTGTATCTATATGTTGTTTTAAGGAGTAACTATAATCATTATAATTAGAAAGTTATAATAAACGAAAAATTAAAAAGTACATAACGTTATGAAGTTATTTCCGGCGAGGGGGAGGCAACAAATAAAATTTTTGAAAATATAATACAAAAATAATGTCTATTACAACAAAATATTCTATAATTTATAATTAAAGCGTCAGATCTGATATTATATATACTCGTATATTATAATTTATATTATTATCTAGGTGTGGAGATGCAATTATAATTATACTGTGGAATTTACGATAAAATCACCAGAATGCCTACCCATTATTTAATAAGGTCTTAGACATAATGAAATCAGCCTACATAATATCATATTAAAATACGGAGTAACTGAGGCCTAAGATCGCTTACACATGTAGGCATAACTTGTATATTATTTAGTATTATGAGTATATTGTATAGGTACAATGAAATCTGTAAAACAATAATATTATTATTATAATTATACATCTTTGAAAGTTTAAATTCCGAGAACTACACGCATATCCACACACAAGAAATGTATTTATTAATTATATGGAAATAGCGCGCATTCACATATATTATAATTATGATATCACTTAAAATTTAAAACACTACATATACATATTATGTATGTTATAATAGTATAAGTAAATTTAAAATTATATACATATATAAATTTACTCGACTGCCCACTCGATGTGTGAAGCAGTTCCCTGTCTAAATACGCCACTGGTCGATAAGACTTAAGTAGTTTAAGTAGGAGGATAGGTCACAGTAATAATAATAGTAATAAAAATAATATAATAGGTGCAGAATCAATGAGGTTGTAATAATATCGGCGAGACAAAACAATGAAATTGCTACGTGGCATAGAGCTGCAGAGGTGTTTAATGAATCATTTGTTATATGCGTGCGCGCCGCGTTATGCAAACATTTTATAAAACCATATAATCATAATAGATATTTATTAAACCGTAATTTGATGTTCAGCGCGAGAATGGAAAAATAAAGTCTTGGTTTTTTGATGGTATGCACACATGTTAAACAAAACTACATATTTTATAATTATTTATAATAATACGAATTGAGAAAGATTGTACAACATTTTTATTATACTTGACTACGGAAAATCGCCTGAAAGTCCGATACACATGCTGCAGCCATGTCGTGAATCTGCCACCTTTTAGGCGATATCCACCTTGACACTTCAAAAAAAAATATAATTTCAGAATAATTATTTTGTAACAATTGAATAAAATGTTTATTTATATATTAAAAAAAATAATACTTTGAATAGACATTTAATTCAAATAATTTTTAATTTATTAAGAATAACAAATAATATTTGAATACTCAGCAACTCAAATCAGAATACATTTTTTTCTTATGTTTTAGGACACCAGTTTTTATAAAATATTATTACGTTACAAGAATTAAGAACAAGTAGTAAGCTAAGATATATTTTTTTAATATTATTGTTATTATTTTTAGTAATTACATTTTTTTCTACAAATTATTTAAAATATATTTTTGGTTATAGAATATAAACTATATATTCAATAATATACAGTATGTTGTTTATAATATTATAATTATATAATTTATTATAAAATTCTATTTGATATACACAAGTATATTATAATTTCTAAAAGAATAATAATTATTATAAACATTATGTCAGCTGTATTCTAATTCTTTAATGTGTCAGTTAGTTGGCTATTAAATTTAAAAAAAAAATGGATTAGACTTGTAACATTAAAAATATACTATAATAATGTAATATACTCATATAATATTAAATAGTAAAATATTCTAGTTTGAAATTTGAAGTTGTAACTATCTAATTCTATAACAATGTACTATTATATATTTGTTAATAACTATTTTATTTATTAAGCCTAAAAGAAAAAGTTTATCATAGAATTAAACCAATGTAATTAGTTAATTATTATAATTATTTAAAAAAATAAGTTGGATGAAATAGCCAATTAAAATTCTGCTTCTACTTCCTACCCAACCTAACCTAAGTTTGGGTAAGCATTTTCATGTAAAATAAGCTTTATACTATATGCTGTTAATTCTTTTGAAATAGGTACCATATATGTTTGGTTTATACAATTTTTAGCGATAGCCATTTCAGCTTTTAATGAATTAACAGAAATCAATCTTTTATTTCTTTTATATATGGTTCTCATAAAAGAAATAAAAGATTGATTTTCCTCCCTTCTCTTGCGAACACAAGTTTTTTTAAATATTTTATCTTCAAAGGATGTTTTATAGAAAAATGTTTCCGAGTGCTCCTTCTCTACTTTGAGGATTTTGATATCATGCAATTTGACTTGACGTGTCTTGTTTTCATCTATATTGAAATTATTATCCCACGATTCTTGCAAAACTTTGACGTCGTAAAATTGTTCGTGCGTCATTTCTACAACTTTGTAAAGACTTCCTGTTTTTTTAGCTATGCGAATCAAAGTTGAATAAGTTTGAGGTGAATAGATTGAGCTTGATTTTAAGTGTCTAATCAATTTATTTTTCGATTTTACTGTGGACATTACTACCTTCATTTTGAGAATGATCACGTATTAGAAATGTTTGCGTAATCGATTTGACTCTCAAGTTGATAACAGCGTAAGCATAAACAGACAACAAATATTTGTTTTTTTTTTTATTGCTGACCGCAATTGTCCGAATAGAAAATTATATCAATATCTTTTTTAAGATTCTTGTCTGTTAAATCTTTGATATAGTTAAGAACACAGCTTCTTCGCATATAAGTTACTGTCAGTAAGGTTCAGGCAATTAATCCTTGACTTATAAAAGAAAAGTGATACTTGTCCTTTGGTACCTGCATAACAGCTGACAAGTCATAAACTGCTACAATAGTACCATTGGTTCTTTGTTTGCTGAGAATACAATTGAATATTTCTTTTTTTAATTAAATTCGCTATTTAAAGAAGATTCGAACCCAGCTATATTTGTACCAAAATATTCCAATTTCCAACTAAATTGACTAATACCATAGTAATCGAGTACCTACAGCTTTTGAAAACATATACAATTTACATAGAATTTAATATAAAGTTAAATTAAAAAAAATAATATAAAGTAAATTATTATTATATATAATTTAATTTAATATAAAGTTAAATTTTCATTTTTTTAAATTTGAACTCTTAAGCCCTTAAACAAATTGAATTTAAAATTTTAATAATATTAAACTTAAAAATCAATTTAAAATGTAAGAAAGTTATATTCAAGTAATCTTCATAACGAATTTAAATATGATTCCAAGCAATATTTCTAATTCATTTAAAAATTTTATCAGATAAATATAGTTGTTTAAATAATCAACAAATACAATTTTTATACTTATTTAAAAAATGTCATATTTTAATTAAATTAAATTAAAAACAAATGCATAGTATAGATAATCATGAGAATTTTTAAAGAATACTCTATAAATGTTTAAATGATTCTCATTCAGCTACAATCATCTATAACATATAAATTCGATTTAGTATTCGAAATTGCCAGTTATGTGTTTACAAATTTTCTGGTTCGAGCATTCCGTAGCTGTCTTATTTATTAATTTTTTTTCAGATTTATGAATGATATCATTTTTATTTTTATTTAAAAAGCTTAAAAATATAATACAAGGTTGATGCTATTATTGTAAATTGTTCTTACCTTTCAAAAAAATATAAAAATAAGTGTGCCCCTGACTTATATAGACTACACAAACTACATTTATGGAACATATATAAAACCATAGTAACCACGAACCACAGTCTTTGGTGGGGTGCAGTTGTACACGTTAACATGTCTCTCACGATGTTATCATTGTCGAAACAGATCTGACCGGTTTTGATAACATTTTTTATCATGAGTTATAATATTTAAATGCCGAGCCTAATATTATCAATTAATATATTGCCTCGCATAGTTGTGTGTTTTCGTTTTTGTTTTTCAATATTCTACAGTTCTTTTGTAGTAATGATATTATTGTGCTTTAAACATTCATGTTTGTGAAATTTCGAACGACTATTGGATAAAGACAGTGAACTATAATAATAATTGTATAATACCACCTACCCACATACCAACGCAATGAGTTTTATCTTAAACCGATGAATTTTCCTAAAACACTGTACGAGTCATCTGAATATCTACCTATATTTTTGACCTGTACACGGAGATCTGTAGACTATAGTCACATCCGATGATTCCGATGATAATTTGTTTTTATTGAGTTGGAGCAGTTGAATGGCCGTTGCACATAATCGTCTCTGTATAACGTAAATTGCCGTCAGCAACAATGTCGTAAGTAGTATCCACCAATTTTATCATCATCTATTTATTTAAAAAATAGGCATAATATTATAGAGCTGCGACTTAATAACAAATTCATATTTATCTTTGCATCAATGATTAAAAAATATGAATGTTCATTTTTTTTAGGGTAAAATGAATGTTGCATAATTTCTGTAATAGAAATTCAATTTCAAAATATTTAATTAGTGAGGAAGAGGTTAATTCTTTACTGTACATTGGAAACTTTATTTCTAAACATGGCGGCAAACTACTCTTGTATTTACCCATACTTCAATAGTGAAAATAACTTGAAACTTTTCAACTGTCAAAAATTATTTTTTTTTATCTTTTTATCTTTGATAATTTAGTTATTTGAACATATTCCAATGTACTGTTTAAAATCCACTCGGTCAGATTGAATCAACTAGAGCAGAGTATAATTTAATATGACCCAATCGTCTAGATATTATTTATGTTTAGTACTGTATTATTATTTATTATTGTTATTTACCTGTCGACATGGTTGATACTTGATAGTCAATAATCATAAATAGTATTTTCTGCCTTCGAATGACACGACACTACCCAAAATGTTTAGCAAACTTCTTAACATCACTTTAGTACTTTTGTACGTTACAAACTTCCAAATTAATAATACTGACTATAAAATTGTATGCGAACACCAAAAACACTATGTTTTACAAATTATAGGAACGCATAGTATACTTGTAGAGTATAGACCATAATTATGTTACCTTAAATCTAAAATGCCATTATTATTGACCATATTAGGCGATTTCGTACCACTGCCATGTTACCGTTTTAAAATGCTGAACTAGTGACATTTAGTTATTTAAGTATTCCTGTTCAAATATCAAGAATGGTCGTCCACAAAGTCATGTATATCTTTGAGTACATTTCAATCACGCCTTCGTCTAGTATAACGGACGACATTGGCCGTGGAATGCGGGGCTCTCCTAAGTTATGCCACACGTCGTACGAGGGTACCATCAGAGTGATGCCCAACTCCATGATAGACATGGCGTGTAATAACCTGGCTGGAGAAAAGTTAATGAAATACACTACACCTTACAATATACAAGACCAATATTTAAGGTATATAATATTATTAACAACTGCCTCCAGTACAGCGGATACCAACCCTCTTCCAGTATTTCGTTCAGTACCTATCAGTACTGGGCCCCAAACAGAAGAAATTCTCAATTACCACATTGCCCCACTCTTCAACAAGGCCTTCACTATATTTTAGAAAACGTGTTATTATGTTTGCCAGTAAAACGCATTTCGCTGTACTGCGAGATAGTTATTATCAGGGCTTGGGACTTTATGCATTAGCATATTTGTTCAGGATGTAGATGGAAGAAATCGGATTTGATACATCTTTGTTTTTTGATATAAAGATTTCAAATTCAACATTTTTATTATATATTTTTTGCATATTTTAGGTTTTTTTCTTCAAATCCATAGGTATTACAAAGATTTACTCGTTTTTACTGTGCATTCCACAAATTTATATATTTTTTAATTTGATTTTTAAGAAAAATGAAAAATATTAATGTAAAATTTTCGTTTTTGGTGCGTTCTAAAATTGTTATTTAGAAAACAAATATGTTGATACAATATACATTGTTCATTCTCAATTAATTTTATCTATGATTTCGTTTGCAATAATACCGATAAGGCAATAATCAATTGCGTGACTCCACATTTCACATTTCATTTTTTAAATTTAATTTATACAAGTATGTCTTTTTTAATTAAAAATAAATACATATTTATACGTATACTTTGATATTTTATTATACATAATGTATGCGCATGTTTTTATGATTTTGAGTGCATCAAGTTCAGAGCCCTGATTATTATTATTATTATTAGATAAATGCCTATTAAAATGTATTTGTATAAATAGTCTATATCAAATTCTACTTTGTTGAATCTATTGTTAAATATTTTAAAATATTAAACGGTGCACCTAGTTATAAAGAATAAACTACCTACTTAGTAACTTATTCATGCAACGTTGTTATTTTTCGAAATATTTTAAACAAAATTATATTGCTTGAATGTGGAGTATAAATTATACAGGCGCCTTTAAACTATTTTATTTCCAATGCATTTTTCACATCTTCGGTAAACTTCAATAAATATTATTAGTCATTGAAGCATACTAAACTCGTATTCCTATCAAGTTGGAATTTATAACAATACTTAATTTAAACTTTTTGTTAATTCACTTAAATCCACAGTACAAAAGTGAATATGTTAAAGCACATCTCAATGGCCGCCGTATCTAGTAAGTACATGTTGAAAGTCGTGGAACTGGTCGGCCTGAGCCTGGCTTCGATAGTCATCGATGAGACTATAGGTTTGGTTAAACAGTACTTTTGGCGCAATTACGTCACTGAGCTCGAAGTTTCCAACTCAGACAAATGTTACAATTGGCTACTACAATGGATTTCCAAGCACAATCAACATCTACTGCACTTCAGTGTCACTACCGTCTGTCGGAACACTGATTCCGGACACGTGACGTCGAAGTTTGACTATGAGCCAAGTTCTGGCGATCACATGTTCAAGTAAGCCCGATTCAAAGACGATACCTATGGTAAAACGTCTCATAACTGCAGCAGACGCATAACCAGAATTTTAAAAGGGGGATGTTTTAATTTTATCTTTAAATACAACTTAGAGAGGAGACTATTCAAACACCCATAAAAGAGTTATATGCTTATTTTAATATATTATAAAATATGCTTAACTTTTATAAATTACATAGAAAATAAAATCCATCCTAACCTAATCTGAAACATTTTTAACATATAATATATTTTTAGATTATACATTTATATCGTTGATGGAGAGGGGTGTTTTAATACCCAAAACACCCCATTTTTGGTTACTCAGTTGAGTAGAAACATTACAATTTTACTAGTTGATAGTGGCACGTCTGTCGAAATTGCACAGACACCCAATACCAATACCATGACTAAAAACTATAAAAAAAAATTTTAAAATTTAAAATTTTTTAAGATTTCTGTTATAGGTACCTATAATTTTTCAATGTAAATAAAAATATAAATATTTTTATACTATCTTGACACAATACTGATATTGTCGGATTGGCTCAAAAATGATGAAAAAAATTTGTTTTAAAAATGTACTACTTACTAATTTTTCTAGAATCGTGAAAAATAAAAAATGACACAGTATACCGGCACATATCATATTAAACTTTAAAATCATGTTTTAATCCAGTAAGATAATTTCACACAGCTCTTACTTCTTATGTTATCAAATTTTTCTCCAAACCCTCACCAATATGTCACAAATATTTAAGAACTAGCTTTCATAAATCGAAAATTTTTATTTTATCCTTAATAAAAATGTTTTTTATTTTGGGTACCATTATAGTATGTGCTGTAATATACTCTCTGCTAGCTTGGATATTTTATACTAAAAATCTCATTTTTCCATCCACGATCGATATTGTTCGATTTGTCCAGCTCCAGCATAATCATTAGCTATTCAATTAATGCTTTGTAACGATTAACTGAAAATTTTGAATCTGCAGGTATAAGGGTCATACAATAAACGTTAAACGTGATCGTAGCTCGACGTTATCCAATGAATATGGTTCTAGGCCGTACGAAACGCTTCACTTATCTATTTGGGGTCGAAATAGACAAGTACTAAACGAAATCCTGGAAGAAGGTTGGTATCCGCTGTACTGGTGGTAGTTGTTAATTATATTATATACCTTAAATATTCGTCTTGTACTTTGTAAAATATAGTGTACTTCATAAAATATATTTCATTGACTTTCCTTCAGCCAGATTATACGCCATGTCCATCATGGAGTTGGGCACCACTCTGATGGTACCCTCGTACGACGTGTGGCATAACTTTGGAGAACCCCGCATTCCACGGTCAATGTCGTCCGTTATACTAGACGAGGGCGTGATCGAAAATATACTCAAAGATATACGTGACTTTGTGAATGACCAATTTTGGTATTTGGACAGGGGTACGTAAATAACTAAATTTCACTGGTTCAGCATTTTAACACGGTAGTGGTACTAAAGTGCTTGATAAATAGTGAATACATAACACTGGAATTTTAAATTTAGAAAAAGTATCTTATTTCTAATATGCACATATTCAATGTCAGGCTGTAAAATTTTTGAATCACCACAGTTTATATTTATAATAATGAAATAAGACTTGAAACTATAGAAAATAAAATGTTGTCTCGGCGTTCTAGGAATACCGTACCGTAGAGGTTACCTGCTCTATGGGCCACCGGGTTGTGGCAAGACATCTATGATCATGGCGTTGGCTGGCGAGATCAAGTATAACTTGTGCGTGTTGAGCCTTAACGACTCAAAAATGTCGGACGATCAACTCATTCAATTAATGGGAGCAGTACCGACCAAATCTTTTGTGCTCCTGGAAGATATCGACGCAATGTTCGCCAACAGGGATGGGAAAACAGTCATAGGTATATTATGCGCATACCTTGTAAAATACGATGTTTTCGGTGTCCATACCCAATTTTTATACATTATTGTTAACTTATGGCAGAAGGCAGTACTAAAGTGACGTTGAGCGGTTTGCTAAATGCTTTGGATGGTGTCGTATCGTCCGAAGGCAGAATACTATTTATGACTACCAACTACGTTGACAGGTGAATAATAATAATAATATAGTCTGTAATAAATAATAATAAATTGCTAAACATAAAGAATAATCAAATGGGTTATTTTAGATTGGATCCTGCACTGATACGATGTGGCCGAGTAGATTACAAACAGTATATTGGAACATGTTCAGATCATCAATTATCACAAATGTTCATTAGGTTTCGCCCAGAAGGTACAGAAGATGACAACAATAGATTTATAAAAGATGTGAGAAAATATAACAAACCAGTCATCCCAGCTCATTTACAAGAATTTTTTTTGTTGCATCGGCATAAAGAACTAAAATATATGTTTGAACATATAAACGATTTATGGCAGAACGTACAAGACATTCAATTAACAGAGTAACAACAATAATATTTATAGTATTAATTTAAAAATAATAATAATAAATTAATTTTTTATGTACAGAAAAATACTAAGTACATAAAAAACGAATGTTCAGTCGAATAGCAATTTTTGAGCACAATAAAAGAAAGTGTCATGAATATTTAAAGTGTTAGAAAAAGAATAACAAAAATTAATTAACATGAAAAAAAAAAACAAAAAGTTTATACGTTCATTATCTTTTGGGATCAATTGAATATAATGCTATAGTTCCATCCATAGCCCCAGTAGAAAGCAGCACTTTTTGAGGGTGAAACTTAATAGTCATTAATGGTGAATAACGTGTACTCATGAACCAGTCCGTCAACTTCAAAGAGTTTAACAACTGACCCTCAGTGTTGTAGAATAATAACATCTGATTTATACTACTGCTAAAAATAAAATAACATGACTTAAAATATATATTATTATTTTAAAACACATTTTATAGTTTATACTAACCATGCAATTATATTGCACATTGAGTGAATGGCTGCGGATTGCATGTTGTTGACATGAAATTCCTGCTGTGGTGCACTATGACCAAACTCAAATGTTTTTATGTCTCCATAAGCACTATTGCATTGATTAATCAGTTAATACTTGTTTTTAATAAAATTAGAAAAATAAATTTACCTAGCAGATACTACTGTAGCATCTTGTAATCTTAAGGTAAGTATTTTACTATGATGTCCAATGAAAGAAGCTATTTTTGCTTCATCTGGCGGAAGTCTTTTATCAAACACTTTAATTGAACCATCTTTACAGCCAGCAGCAAATATATTATTATTGTCTGTAAACAAATATAAAATAACTTTGGTATATAGAATCAAACAATATCAAACATTTTCATATCATAAGATATTACAAATTTGCATTATTAAATAATTTAAAATAGATATGTATTTATCAATTATTAAATAAATTTGATTAATTAGATGAAAAAATGTTATGATTTGTATCATATAAACATACTTTAAAATAATATACATGGTTTTACACATTTCTTTTTCTTTATTTAATTTGTATCATAATTGTATAATCTAAACAAACAGCCATCAAGAAATCAAATTAAAAAATATATAAATTGGTTTTTTTTTCAAAATTCTGAATATAATAATTTAAATATTAAAAGTTCACTATAAAATGGAAGTATACTTAGGTGTGTGTTATGATCATATATTCATCATTTCTAATCAAAATATATTATTAATTTGGATTAAATTAAATGATTGAAAAATTTATAAAATATACACTGTACTTAGATGTTGATTGATCTTAGCAACAATTAAACTTTAATTACCTTTAGATTGCATGGACATGGTTGTCACAGAGGCATTGACTCCCGTTGATAAAGCAGTCAGTTTAGTTTCAGTCTCAACATCCCAAATTTTAATAACTCTTGAATCACCTGCACAAATTAAATGGCACGACCTTTGATCCCATTGCATAGCCACTGATAATTATTAGATAAAATTAACACAATTTATAATATTAAATAATTTGCTAAGATTAAATTTATTTACTTGAAGAACTCTCAAAACTTGGACTCTTACAAATAGGTAATGCATGCCAACCGGTAACCAATTTAGGAGGTCCATCGATGCATTGAGACCAAACTTGAATATTTCCGTCATTGTATCCCGCCAACACCAACGCAACATCGTGGCTGTTAATTAGTTCTACAGCAGATAAATGCGGAGTTGATCTATATGACAGATCGAGACTTCTGACATCTGGTTTCCATTGAGACAGCTTATAGCTACTATGATAATCCCACACTCTATAATTTAAAAAATATGTTTTAAAAGTAGTTATATCAGAAAATAGAATTTGTAACTAATTTTTTTTTTACATCAATTAACAGTTATAAATATGTACTACTTACGTTAAATAATCTTTTGTAGCTACAACAACATGTGGGTCATATGGATAAAACACCAATGAATTTGGTGATTGTTTACATTTTGAAGAGAATATTTGATGTTCTATCTTACAATTTAAATTATTTACTTTGTTTTGTTCTTCTAATGCTTCTTTACGGAGCATCATGTTTCGAGTATACCTATTAAATACATTTTAAGTATTAAAATAATACTATTACTTGTTAAATATTATATCAAAAGTTATAAAAACAATATTTGTTTTAATATCAGTTACCTCCAGTCACGTTCATAGTAAATTGCACTCTCAAAATCACCTCCATCATTCATACCACTTAATGGATGAGCAAAATTTTTAGATACCCATTCAAAAAATTGAGATTTTAATAAACTTTTAGTATGATTTGTTGTGTCTTTTTCACAATCACTTTCTATATTTGGAGGTGATGATGATGATGAAAGCATAGTAGTTTCTTCTACAATCTAATTGCATAATGGATGTATTAATAATTATTCTTCTAAAACAATTTTTGTACATAATAGAAGTTACGTACAGTGTTGGGAACAATTTTTTTTGTCCTGGAATTAGATCTTGACGGGGTAATAGGGGTTCTTGGTCGAGTACGAAGTTCATGTACAGACAATGGAGGAGAATCTCCTGGGCTAAAATAAATCATAAAGACCATTTAAAAATGCAATGTATAAGTAAATAAAACAAATTATGAATCAATCAATTCAATACCTGAGATAACTTTTAGAAGACGGAGATGCAGGTAATGAATGTGATGAGCGACTATCCGTTTTATTCTTAAGCTAATCAAAAGAAATAATAATAATTTACAATTGTTTTTAAATAAAAATATTACATACACACATTAAGTACTTACCTTTTGTCTAATGTATTTAGTTAACTTTTGTGCGGTAGCTGCAACATCTGGAAATATATCGTGCTCCAAAGCTGTCAAACCCTTCCATAGTTTAGAGTGATTATTGCTATAGGCAGATGTTGTTTGATAAGCATCTAAGAGACAAAATACTTTAGAAATTATGTCTAGTTAATTTAAAAAATATATACATACCTAAGGTCACTATTGATGAGGACGAATTTGTACGCCTCAAATGATCAGATTTCGATTCTTCTGGCATTTCATCTGAAATGCTAGGTGCAGGTGATACTTGAGGTGATGCTGCAGTGACTATTACATTAGTAGATTGCATTGAAAAATTTTCTTTAGATCCTTTTCTAGACAGACTAGCTATTTTTGAGCTACCATTTGGACCTATAATAGGATTTATAACAAAAATTGATTTATATTTTGGCATTTACAAATTAATTTAGAACATACTTTTATAAAGAGATCCATATGGTTTTTCTGTTTGTTCCTGCATTGCTATTTCTAAAAAGTATCTTTCAAATGTGATAACTGTCCATTGAAGAGCAATTATTACTTCCTAAAAACAAACATAGTGTAAAAATGATCATTATTATGAATAATTAACAACTAATAAAATAAAAAAATACAATTGTTTTTGACTATTACCTCCCTGACCATAGGACTCATATCTTTAGCAACAGTATTTAATAAAGTCAAGGCAATATTTAGATCAACTTTTATAGCATAGTCAGTACGATCCTTATCACAGCTTACATAAGTACCAAGAGCAAACACTGCTGCAGCTCGAACCTAAAACACAAATTTAATTATTATTTTGAGTTATTTTTTGATACTGTGTTTTAAATAACAATATGTTAAATACTTATAACTTACTTAAAATTAAAATATTATAAAAAAAAAAATTAAGAGAACACAGATAACATTCCTACCTTAATGTTTAAAAGCAGATAACTTCATTTTAATATTTATGCTAACAACACACAATTGAAACTGCTAAACGTACATTTACTATGTTATATATCAGTATTCAGTATGCCAGATAAACACATGCGGTACAATACCTAGCACTCTTAATATAAACATTAAATTGGTTTCTCATTTCTCTCTTTTTTAGTTGAAATTAAAGTGTTATCAAAATATATAATAGCATATTAAATAGCAAAAGAGGAAGTCTATTCAGTCTTATCCTAAATTGTCATCACTACAAACAATCATAATACATTTTTTAGAAATTAAAAAAAATATATTATTTCCATGAACAATTAACTTACTTCAGGTACTTTATCTTCTAATAAAATGTAAAGTTTTTCATGAGCTATATCCCGCACACCAACCCAACGAGCTTTATCATAATCAGACCATAGCTGAGCAAGACACAAGGTCAACCATTGTTTATATGGAGCACTAGCGTTGGCTAATTGTTCAAGACATATGCACACTAAATTGTTCTTAAGCCCAAGTTGTTGACCATTCTTATAGTTTTGCATTAGCCGGGACAATACAACAGTTCCCAACATCCTTTGTTCTTCCTAATAACATAATTATAATGGGTATATAAAGACAATAAATAACATTTCTTCAATATTTGGAAAAATATTAACTGTTTAAAATCGATTTTCCATATACTGTGTCGTGTAATATTAATATTCATCTTATAGGTAACATTCTATCTACCTATGTTAACCTACATATAAATATACCAAATATAAAATAGTGAAGTAACTCAGATTATAAATGTAGTTATAAATTATTAATTACTAATTACTAATGACATTTAAAAATACTTGTTTGTTATTTTACCCCACTACTGGATGACTGTCTAATATACTCCAGTGTTTATTAACTATGAAACAAATTTCAAATAAAAATAAATAACAATATTAAATTGTTTACCATTAAGTATAAATAGTAATATAGTTGATAATATATATTTTACAATAAGTAAACATAATAAAGTAAAAATTTAATGCTACAATTAAATATCACAGGGAATAAGTCATTAAAATTAATTTTAAAAAGTTAATAATATTTACAGGAAAGGTATGAACTTGAAATTAGACATATAAGTGACAAGCCAACAACATACTAATATAGTTATAAATTAATAAAATACAATATCAAAATATTTTATAAGAAATATTTACCTCTTTTCCATAAATATATATTATACTGGACTTGCCTAAGAGCTAAGATGATATCAATCTATAGAGAAATATCAATCATAAATATCAAATGTTTAGATTAAAGGATGTAAGCATGAAATTGCCTAGTGAAGTAATACGTTTTAAATAGTGTATTAGCAGAGTGATAACAAACAAGTACCCATTTTTTTAATGCATATAAAATCATTCAATCAGACTGTCATACGAGAAAAATAAATTAGTTAAAAGATTAAATATATATTTTCACATTTTTAATTGTAATTATCACTGTA